TACCGAACTCATTTTACAAATAACCCGACCATTTAGCTTTCATTCACTGTTTTGGCTCTTCATCGAACACTTACGCAATACGCGTCGGCACTAGTTTTCATCTACAAGGTCAACCCCTGCATGAGATCACACGGAGACACCAGACCATCAGCCCCATTGGCAGCCACGATGGTTAACCCTACAGAACACCTACTGTATGCCACGTGCTGTCCTGGCTCCCTATTCTGGACACTAATCCTTCGAGGTATTCACTGGTGTTAGCCACATTTCCCAGATGGGAAAAGCGAGGCAGAGAGAAGTGAAGGAATTTGCTCAAGATCACACACTTAGCAAGAGGCAGAGCCGTCATTTGAAGCCAAGCGGTTTGGATCTTGTGCTATTTGCTGAGACCCAACTAGAAACACACCCGCGAATGCATGGACACCTCCCCCCATCTCTGAACTCACAACATCACATTGGAAACACAAGTCCGGAGTAGCTGGGCTTGCACCCCAACTCTGCAAAGCTTCCTTGCTTTGTACCATCCTGCCTTGCGGCATTTACACAATCCCACGGGCGCACACACTCATGCGCATGCGGGGCCCGTGTTTTCCTGGCCCATCTGGGACCCAGCTTTTCCAAAGACTTGGCCGACGTGCACACCACAGCCCCCCTCTGTGTGCCTCTCCCCTCCTTCGACACACGTTAACACTCCCACAGATCTCACTTGCTTCTTTCTGTCATTTTTTCTTTTCTTTCTCATTTTAAATCACACCCCCAGCCTCCAGTTTGGTTCTTTGCTCGTTTGCTTCTGCACTAACTAACATCACTAACATTCTCTGTTAGGTTTTGCCTTGGCCCTGGGGAGACAGAGGAGCCAGCCCAGCCAAAGCTGACACTGGGGGAGGTCACATGCAGGATTCGGGGGCATTGGGGAACCCAGGGAAAAAGATGAGTTTTTCTAGGAAAAATCAAGGCACACCTCCTGGAGGAGGTACCTGTTCATTGGGCCTCAGAGGTGGAAGAGGGGTGCTTCCCCCTCCAACTGCTTCCTGCCCAACCCCTCCCTTGAGCCCTATGATGATAAGCATGAGGATTCAGACCTTTCCCCTAGAGTTGAGAAAAATGGGCCCACGCTCACCTCAGGGAGACGGCCGAGCACAGAGGTGCTAGGAGACTAATATTAACAGCTGTGTGGTGGGCGGGGCTGCCTGGCTCAGATGTCCCAACCACAGCTGCGCGTCATGGTGCTCCCTGGCTGTGGCCTGAGCCTTCCCCGGGCCGCCACCAGACTTTGTTTCCCCTCCCCGGAGGGGGTGTGCGGAGCTAGGCCAAGCCCCTCGCGTGGAGATGAGTTCAGAACACTCACTGGGTCCTTGGTAAGAGACTCATTTGTGGGGTCTTGGTTTCTGCACCCACGTATTGGGGGTGATGGTGCACCCGAGTTGTAGGTGAGATTCAGTGATCGTGGCAGCTCGCCTTTTTTGAATGTTAACAATGTGCCTGACACTGCTCACGGCAAGCGCTCAACTGCCCCCCGAGATCTATTATTTCCCTTTAACAGATATAAAAAGTGAGGCTCAGAGAGGGAAAGCCGCTTGTCCAAGATCACACAGTGAGACATTTGAGAGCGGAAATTCAAGGCTCTACGGCAGAGGCGGCAAATTTTTTTCTGAGATGGACTAGAGAGAGGAAATATTTTGGGCTTTGTGGGCCAATCTCTGCCACGACTACTCAGCTCTGCTACAGTATCATGAAAGCCGCCATAGACAATATGTAAGCATGGCTGTGTGCCAATAAAACTTTATTTGTGGACACTGAAATTTGAATTTTACGTAAGTTGTAAATGTCAGGATATATCCTTCTTTTGACTTTTTCCAGACACTTAAAAAGAAAATGTCATAGTTTGTGGACTGTAGTTTGTTGACCTCAAGAGCCCATGCTGTTGTTATGCTATAATTTATTCATTCATTCATTCATTCATTCACTCATTCAGTATATATTAGTGAGGCCTGCAATTTTCTAGGCACTGGAGGTAGAAGGGAAACAAGGCGAATGAAGACACCCCTCTTCGGAGATAACAATTTTGGGAGGAAAATAATTGTAAGCACGTCAACACACAAGGTATTCCAGATTGCTGACTCGCTAGTAAGGAAATTTGATGGGTGAGGTAAGCTAGAGCTCAAGGGAGGTGCACTTTCGTTTGGGTTGTTAGAGATGGCGACTTTTTGAGTCTTCTGACTTCCTCTTTTGGTTCTATCAGCTTAGGCAATCTTTGTCTGTGGCCAGCTGTGGGCTAAGGCTTAATGATAAACACAGTGGCCCAGAGTGGCCTGTGAGCCTCTTGGCAGGCCGATGACGTAGGGGAGGGCCCTTTGGCTCAGCATCTTTGAATCTTCCTTCCCGGTTGGTCAGATTCCTCAGAGACGGGTCTTTCACCACCCCATCTTCTGGGTCCCTGATGCTGAGCGGGGCTGCGGGTTGACGGTGGGGAAGTGTTAGCTCCTGCATTCAAGTTCACAGGTTTGCTTAATATTCCTGTCTTCAGAGGAGTTCTTCTACCGCTGACGGTCGTTCCGTTCCTCTGACCAGAAACTCTGCCATTTCCGCTCTCTGAAGGGAAAAAACCCAGTTACTTTTCCACCCTGATGAGGAGTGTCAGAAAACACATATATAAATGGAGCCACTTTAAAATGGAGCCGGAGCTGCCAACCTGGAGGAACTAACTGCCTTGCATGTCTTATGCCTCGAACCTTAGGAGTGTTAAAACAGGACAAAGCAACCTTTGGACTAGGCCTAAAGCAACCTCACGTCCCAAAGAGCTGTTTGCAAGGATAAGACAGCAGACGTGTTTACTGGACTGAAAATTAAAAACATCGTTTGGAATTAACCTCACTAATTTGTGTCACCTGCGCCAATGAAAACGCCGCCCATCTACTGATGTGTCTGTCCTCCTCCCTTTCTCAGAGGTGCCCCTCGCCTTTGTTTCCTTTTTGATCTCAAAGAAACATTTCTCCTCGGTTTCAAACAAATGCTTGTTGCTTCTTGCTTGGAAAGGCCTTTTATTTTTAGGTTAACGGGAGAGAAGCTGCTGTCTCTTTCTGGGAACTTACGTTCAGCAAACTCTTCTATTTCAGCTGCCACCCACCACAGTCTCCCTCAGAGTTGACAGCAGTCATCAAGAACTGGGGGATGGTAGTGGCGAAGTTCTGCAGGGGAAACTAGATTTGGCTTTCTGTCCTGCTGTCACAATTTTGTTTCAGGTTTTAAAACAATAGCTGAACGGTCCCTGCGGTGGAGCGGGTCAGGGAGTTGGCCAGTGTCCGCCCGGCTGGAGCGGGCAGAGCAGGGCTCCTGTTCCCATCTCTCCATCGGAGGCTTCAGGAGCGTGAAAGCGGAGGTTGGTGTTTCCTTCATCATACTTACCCAGGAGGACGGTTGGAACCGAGGTGTGAATGGCAAAGAGGTGTCAGTTGGCTGCCAATCTGGGGAAAGAACATTCCATCCAGGCAGAGAGACTGCAGGTGCAAAGGAACAACCTCGGAACGGTGCGGTGGGTTCTCCAGCTTGGGCGAGCGTCAGAATCTTCTGGAGGGCTCATTCGAACACTGTCAATAGATGGGGTGCTGGAGTTTGCGTTGGCAGCGACTCCCATGCTGCTGCTCTTGATTTGGACATAACACTTTATAAACCGTTCGCGTAACGGAAGCGTTTGCCACCTGTGCATCATCTCAAGCCAGAGCCAGTATCGGTATGATTTTTCTCTCCGTAATTCCCCAGCGAGGCCCAGAGCAAGACTGAGCACAGGGCTGGCATCAGAGCAAAATCCCCGCCTTTCCCTGCCTGCCCGCCAGGCCTGAAACCAGGCGCCAGGCCCCCTTCTCGATTTACACAGGGAAAGCGAGGCATGGGCGGGTCAGGGGCTTGAGCAGGGTCCACCTGGCTGGTCTGGGCAGAGCAGGGCTCCTGCTGGAACCCAGGGCTTTTGTTCCCATCTCTCGATCCGGGGTTGCTTCCTCTTTTGGGCCAAGTTTTGGCTGCTTCTCTGCTGCTCCTCCCGCCCCCGCCTGAGCGAACGGGAAATTTGAATTTCCTCTGCCTCACTCAAGTGTCCTTTTCCTACCAGGGGAATTTCTCTACCTGGACTCTCCAGCCTTCTGCTCTCAGGGTCCAGAGGGGGCTTCTGACAGGAAGCTTGTGTAGACGGGTGGGTGGGGGCAGGCCAGGGAAGACCCAGGGGTCCTGGGGTGAGGGAGGGTGGGGGGAAATCCGAGCCTGGCCCTCGGGGTTCCACTTGGGGGTCTATGCTCCAGAGGAGAAAGGTGCTGAGGCCTGGCTGTCTTCTGACCCCTTTGCATGAGTGCTGGATTTAGGGGATCCCTGGGGGAGCCTCGGTGGGAGTGCCAAGGAGGGGAAAGCGACAAAGAGAGACATAGAGTCCGAAAATGAAAGCCAGAGGCGGCCAGGGAGAGACACAGAGACAGAGACAGAGACAGAGAGCGACAGAAATAATGAGGGAAAGAAACATCCCCTGCGACCCAGTGCAGTCAGCAGAGCCTGGGGACACAGAGTGCGAGACGCACAGAGGAAAGGAGAGATTCAGAATTACAAAGAGGCACCCAGGGACGCGGGGAGAGAAAGGAGAAACAGTGGGACAGAGACTGGAGGACGAGGGACAGAAAGATGACAGACGGAGATCCAGAGAAGAGAAAGTTGGGGAAAGTTCAGCCGGAGGGGGCGGGGGCAGGACGCCGGGGTCCCGGCCAGCTCCGCCCCGGAAAGCGGGGCTTCCGGATTCGGTATAAAGCGCGGAGCCCGGAGCCGGCCGCAACTGCTCGCTGCCCGC